TGGAGCCTCCGGGTGCTCCTCAAGGGGAGCCCCATGTAGAGAGCATTGCAGTAGTCCAGGCGGGAAGTGACAAGGGCATGAGTGACCGTGCGTAAGGCGTCTCGGTCCAGAAACGGCCGCAACTGGCGAATCAGGCGAACCTGATAAAACGCTCCCCTGGTCACGGCCGACAACTGGTCATCCAATGTCAGCCGCGAATTCAGGAGAACACCCAAGTTGCGGACCCGATCCGAGGGGGCCAAAGTTTCGCCCCCTATAGTCAGCGATGGAATCAGCTGACTATGCCGAGGCGCTGGTAGCCACAGCCACTCGGTCTTGGACGGGTTGAGTCTGAGTTTGTTCCTCCCCATCCAGACCCTCATGGCCTCCAGGCACCGGGCCATCACGTCAAGGACCAAGAGACAGTGTGATGGCCCTAAATGCAAGAATTGGTCGCAAAGTTAACTACCCTAACTTCGAATGGTTGCTAAACAGAGCAGTCAGTAAACAAAGATTCCCTGTAGTCCTATTATTTTGTATGTTCCCTTGGGATACATAGGGAGAGACCTAAAGCAGTAATTGATTCTGACAATGGAAATGTCTATTTTATGTGCAATAAGAAACCTACACATATCTTATGCCATTTTCCTCCAATGCCCATATATTTGGAATGCATAAAATCTTTTTTTGTGTGTTATTTATTTTGAGCATGATATCCTATCCTCTGTGCAAAATTGCTGTTTCAAGTGCAAAATAGGCTATATTGGCCTTTTGAAGCTTTTTTTCCCCAGAACATTTTGGAATTTGAGCATAAAATAAAATGTTTTGCATCGCTCTACTACACTGATCTTCAGAAAAAGACACGATTTGGGAAAAATGTTAATATTATCCCCAACAAAATTTGAGGGGTGAAACTTCACAGCAAGGGAATCATGAAGGAGAGAGAGAAATATAATTAGAGCTTTTCTTTGATTCAAGGCAGGACAGCGGTCTTCTCTGTATCTGACTTCAGACTTTTTAAGAAAAAACAAGAAAAGAGAAGGCAACATACTTTTAAAGGAGTCTTACCTCCCATCATCTTGGCCTCCCAGTGAAATCAGGTAAAGGTCATTTGGAGAAAATGCCAGATGTTCAATTTTACCCTTGTGAAGTGACAGCCGAGACAACATCTCCTTTTTGCTGTAGTCCCATAAAATGATATCAGCCTGGGGTAAAAATATAAATACGGAGTCTAACAACATCATTTGGGGGGGAAAAAAAACCAAGTTTGTTACAGAAAAGCTATTTGGATCCCAAACTCCAGGTTTAAAGGAGTTTTTCTTCCCATATATCATTACAGGCAGCCTTTCGAATGGCTGCTACTTTATTGAGACAGAAACGCTCAAATGGAAGCATAACTTAGCCAAGCACATCCCATTTCTGAGACAAATAGCAGCATCAAGAATAATGTGTTAATACAAGGCAATAGAAGGGCCTGATGTGATCTACCCACACCATTAAATACTGCAGAGCTACTATTCTTCTATCCAGATGGGTACACAAAAAGTAACAAAGCATTATTGGCTACTAAATCAAAACCTCTTATATGATTTGCTCAAAGTCATACCAACCCTATGCTGTGAAGCAATTCAGAAATTAGTATTGAACTGAACCTGCCTTTTCATCTAACAGATCCATAAAAGACATTGTTGAGAAGGCAGTTAATTTCTCCTTTTCTAAACTGGAGGTGGGAGAGCAAGGGATAAAATTCAATTTCCCAGGAAAGGGGTTCCAGAATTTGGTTAGCTATACTGTTCTGAAAGGTAGGTTTCGGAAAATGGGGTAATTTGAAAGAAAATCTCTGTTGTTGAATTTATTGTTGTATAGATTTATATAAAAGAGATGCTGTTCCTTAGTCAGAGCTGTTTCACGTTTTAAGAGGTAAAAACAATACCTTGAACTGTGTCCAGAGAGTAACTGGTGAAGACTACAGATATGATTCTGATGTTGTGTACAAATCGGCAACCTGGCTGCCACGTTTTGCATCAATTGGACCTTTTAGACACCCTTCAAGAATAAACACCCTTCTGTAAAGTACATTATAATAATCTATTATAGGTAGTCCTCAAAATTACAACTACAATTGGAACTAGAACTTCCATTGCTAAGCAAGGTGATTGCTAAGTGAGTTATGCCCAATTTTGCCTTTTTTTCTCATGGTTGTTAAGAGAATGGCTGCAATTGTTAAGTGAATCATGTGGTTGTTAAGTGAATCCAGTTCCCCCCACTGACTTTGCCTGTTGGAAGCTGGCTGGGAAGGTCACAAATAATGATCACATGACCCCCGGATGCTGCAACTATCATAAATCTATCCCAATTAGAAAAGACTAAAATTTTTGATCCTGTAACCATGGGGATGCTGCAACAGTCATAAGTGTGAGGACTGGTCATAAATCACATATTTCAGTGCTCTTGCAACTTTGAACAGTCACCAACTAAATCATTGTAAGATAAGGATTACCTGGATGACTGAGAATCTCCATAGACAATTACCTGTAGTAATTACCTACTCAAGGCATCGATTAATTGTAGGTGAACCTGACCAACCCAAGAACAATCACAGTTGTTACATTAACTATAATGTGCAAAAATGCTTTTTTTCCCATTGCTATCACTAGCCAGAAACTGCTGAAAATAAGGGAACATCTGAAATTTCAGGCCTACTTGTCAGTAAGAGTAAAATCCCAGTCAAAATATGGTGAATTCCCTGATGTTTTAAATCAGCCATTGCCTCTCTTCAACTGTTATGCTTTCTCTCCAAAACACTATTTGAAACTAATAATCTAATTTATATTTAGACAATTAAATTGTCTTATCTAAAATCCAACACTGGACAGACCCCCATCAGCCTATATATATAGATAATGTAGCAGGATTGCTCAGAAATATTCTACAGGTGGCCGTTACTTAATGATCACTTGTTCAGTGCCCATTCAAACATATGAAGGTGCTGAATGAGTGATAGTTACAAGTGGTCCTTATAATAATGTTGATCACAGTGTCCCTGCAGTCACAATTGCCATTTGTGATTTTCTTTGCTGGCTTCCAAGGAGCAAAGTCAAAGAGGAAGCTAGCAGGAGGATGCAAATGGCAACAACATGATGTTCTTGCTTAACAACCAGCAGTGATTCACTTAATGACAATTGAAAGTGCCAGAATTTTCATTGCTAGGCAGCATGACCACATGACTAGACTTTATAACCACATGGTTTAGCCACAGACATTCTGGTTCCAATTACCATCCTTAAGTGAGAACTACTTGTAGTGGTAATAGTGTGAGACCTAAAAGTATAGACATAACTTGAAGTCTAAACAGTTAATCAGAGTTGAAAGATCAGGCTTTAAAGCAGACATGTCAAACTCGCGACGTCACACAACGTATCAGGACGGTTTTGCCATTGCGGCAATGGGGTGGGCGCGGTTTCCAGATGACGTGTCCGGCCCGCAGGCCAGCAGTTTGACACCCCTGCTTTAAAGGATCATATTCTTCCCTGTTTAAACAGCAACATCCTTTAGGAATCAAATACATTTTTAAAGGGTGCTTTTATCCACCTTAAAGCCCATGAATGTGATCTGACCAGACGCCACATAATTTCCACTTGGAGAAACTGTGACACAGGAGACATTGTTGGTGTGACCATGTAAAAAATCTTGACCCGGAGTGTTTATGCTTTGGATAATTACTGTACAACCCAGTGGATAGATAAGATGCTCTCGATCTGGATGGCAGATGAGGCCAAAGGGAACATGTCCTAAAGACAAAAGAAATACAATGATTATTTTGTTACTAGAGGTAGAACAGCCAACATTTATCTACTACTGAAACTCTTGTGTCTGTAATCTTTAACTGGGCAAAATGGTGCATCATAGGACAAAACAATTCCAACCAAGGTATCCAAAGCAGGCTAACTTACAGAATACATCCAAAATCTGGGACCCATGATTCTTGTAGAACTGAAATTTGGCAATTTTTATAAAACATTTTATGATGCAAATATAAGCATTTATGACATAATACAAAATGATTTTAAAAATTGTGTGGTCAAGTTCTGATATTTGAATACAGTATAATTCAACATGGGCTACTTTTAAGGCAGAGACTGAATATCACTCTGAATTTTAACATTTCCAGGGAAGGCAGTATATTAGTGCTCTGTCATTGTTGAAGAACCATTGAGAATTTAGTAAGGAAATATTTTTGAAATGATGATCCAACAGATCACAGGTTGTCTAGTTACATGCTATAGTCGAGCAATAATCAGGTAAAACTTTTGGAAACTGAAAGTGGTTTCCCACTTAGGAGCAGCAAAAGATTTATTCCTGCAATTCATCAGGATACTTTACTGCTCTCCATTTTTTTTATCAGTCCTCTTCAATTACTTGCTAATGCTGTCTGTCTTTTGATACTTTGATCCTAATCCATTCTGCTGTCTTTTATTCAAACAGTAGAGAATAATAATACTGTGCTTAAATCGTGTCTTTCCTTTAACCTTCTGAAAGCAAGGTAATATCATTAAAACAATTCATTTCTTAAGAATCAAAATCACAGCAAGTATGACAATAATCACAGGGACAACGGCCATTAATTGAAAGAGACACTCAGATTTGGCTTGTTTTGAACTATAGTCAAGGTAAACTTTATAGTCCTGCTCTTTACAGCCCCGTGTCAAATTGAAACTCTGATTTCTCAATCCTTCCCTCTGTAACCGAATACAAACTACTTAATGCACAGATATTTATGTTAGATTATGTCCATGGAGTCCTTCTCTGGTACAGNTCAAAGTTACAACAGCACTGAAAAAAATGACTTATGACTATTTTTCACATTTATGATCATTGCAACATCCTCATGGTCACATGATCAAAATTTGGATGCTTGGCAGCTGACAGTTGCAATGTTCTGGGGTCATCTGATCCCCTTTTGTAAACTTCTGCCAAGCAAAGTCAATGGGGAAGCCAGATTCACTTAACAACCGAGTTACTAATTTAACAACTGCAATGATTCACTTAACAACTATGGCAAGAAAGGTCTAAAATGGGGCAAAACTCGCTTAACAAATGTCTCACTTAGCAACAGAAATTTTGGGCTCAATCGTAGTCGTAAGTCGAGGACTACCTGTATAGCTGGTAAATTCCATTAAGCTAAGTAAGCATGCTTGGACAATTATATTTGTGTGCAATCCTTATGAATGGTATTCTCATTTCCTCTTTCTGTCAGAAATTCACAAATTTTCCTCATAAATTGCAAACTTAACGGGAAAGGGAGACTAGGCAAAATGAAGTAAAGGATATACAGAAGCATATTATGCTTCTCAAAGGCTGAAGAGAACAGGCAAAAATCATTAAAAGATGCATCACGCCATTCCTAAACGATGGATTCACACTTCAAACTTGCTGCATCATTCTACAGTTACAAATCAATTATTTTGTTTACTTGCTTTGTCACTTCAACTGATCAGATTTAATAGTGATTCTTTTAGCATTACTGGTAGTTCTCACTTACCAACCACAATTAGAATTGGCAACTGTCACTAAGTGCTGTGGTCACTAAGTGAAAAATCACATGATTGTGCCAGACTTACAATGTCACTTCCACACCCATTGTTAAGTGACTTACCACAGTTGTTAAGAAAGATATTATGTAACCACAACTTGCAATTTCACTTCCACATTCTCCATTAATTCCGCTAGTTGAAAGTTTGCAAATAGTGATTACATGACCAAGAGACAGTGTGATGGCCCTAAATGCAAGAATTGGTCGCAAAGTTAACTGCCCTAACTTCGCATGGTTGCTAAACAGAGCAGTCAGTAAACAAAGATTCCCTGTAGTCCTATTATTTTGTATGTTCCCTTGGGATACATAGGGAGAGACCTAAAGCAGTAATTGATTCTGACAATGGAAATGTCTATTTTATGTGCAATAAGAAACCTACAAATATCTTATGCCATTTTCCTCCAATGCCCATATATTTGGAATGCATAAAATCTTTTTGTGTGTGTGTGTGTTATTTATTTTGAGCATGATATCCTATCCTCTGTGCAAAATTGCTGTTTCAAGTGCAAAATAGGCTATATTGGCCTTTTGAAGCTTTTTTTCCCCAGAACATTTTGGAATTTGAGCATAAAATAAAATGTTTTGCATCGCTCTACTACACTGATCTTCAGAAAAAGACACGATTTGGGAAAAATGTTAATATTATCCCCAACAAAATTTGAGGGGTGAAACTTCACAGCAAGGGAATCATGAAGGAGAGAAATATAATTAGAGCTTTTCTTTTATTCAAGGCAGGACAGCAGTCTTCTCTGTATCTGACTTCTGACTTTTTAAGAAAAAACAAGAAAAGAGAAGGCAACATACTTTTAAAGGAGTCTTACCTCCCATCATCTTGGCCTCCCAGTGAAACCAGGTAAAGGTCATTTGGAGAAAATGCCAGATGTTCAATTTTACCCTTGTGAAGTGACAGCCGAGACAACATCTCCTTTTTGCTGTAGTCCCATAAAATGATATCAGCCTGGGGTAAAAATATAAATACGGAGTCTAACAACATCATTTGGGGGGGGGAAAAACCCAAGTTTGTTATAGAAAAGCTATTTGGATCCCAAACTCCAGGTTTAAAGGAGTTTTTCTTCCCATATATCATTATGGGCAGCCTTTCGAATGGCTGCTACTTTATTGAGACAGAAACGCTCAAATGGAAGCATAACTTAGCCAAGCACATCCCATTTCTTAGACAAATAGCAGCATCAAGAATAATGTGTTAATACAAGGCAATAGAAGGGCCTGATGTGATCTACCCACACCATTAAATACTGCAGAGCTACTATTCTTCTATCCAGATGGCTACACAAAAAGTAACAAAGCATTATTGGCTACTAAATCAAAACCTCTTATATGATTTGCTCAAAGTCATACCAACCCTATGCTGTGAAGCAATTCAGAAATTAGTATTGAACTGAACCTGCCTTTTCATCTAACAGATCCATAAAAGACATTGTTGAGAAGGCAGTTAATTTCTCCTTTTCTAAACTGGAGGTGGGAGAGCAAGGGATAAAATTCAATTTCCCAGGAAAGGCGTTCCAGAATTTGGTTAGCTATACTGTTCTGAAAGGTAGGTTTCGGAAAATGGGGTAATTTGAAAGAAAATCTCTGTTGTTGAATTTATTGTTGTATAGATTTATATAAAAGAGATGCTGTTCCTTAGTCAGAGCTGTTTCACGTTTTAAGAGGTAAAAACAATACCTTGAACTGTGTCCAGAAAGTAACTGGTGAAGACTACAGATATGATTCTGATGCTGTGTACAAATCGGCAACCTGGCTGCCACATTTTGCATCAATTGGACCTTTTAGACACCCTTCAAGAATAAACACCCTTCTGTAAAGTACATTATAATAATCTATTATAGGTAGTCCTCAAAATTACAACTACAATTGGAACTAGAATTTCCATTGCTAAGCAAGGTGATTGCTAAGTGAGTTATGCCCAATTTTGCCTTTTTTTCTCATGGTTGTTAAGAGAATGGCTGCAATTGTTAAGCGAATCATGTGGTTGTTAAGTGAATCCAGTTCCCCCCACTGACTTTGCCTGTTGGAAGCTGGCTGGGAAGGTCACAAATAACGATCACATGACCCCCGGATGCTGCAACTATCATAAATCTATCCCAATTAGAAAGGACTAAAAATTTTGATCCTGTAACCATGGGGATGCTGCAACAGTCATAAGTGTGAGGACTGGTCATAAATCACATATTTCAGTGCTCTTGCAACTTTGAACAGTCACCAAATAAATCATTGTAAGATGAGGATTATCTGGATGACTGAGAATCTCCATAGACAATTACTGTAGTAATTACCTACTCAAGGCATCGATTAATTGTAAGTGAACCTGACCAACCCAAAAACAATCACAGTTGTTACATTAACTATAACATGCAAAAATGCTTTTTTCCCATTGCTATCACTAGCCAGAAACTGCTGAAAATAAGGGAACCTCCGAAATTTCAGGCCTACTTGTCAATAAGAGTAAAATACCAGTCAAAATATGGTGAATTCCCTGATGTTTTAAATCAGCCATTGCCTCTCTTCAACTGTTATGCTTTCTCTCCAAAACAGTATTTGAAACTAATAATCTAATTTATATTTAGACAATTAAATTGTCTTATCTAAAATTCAACACTGGACTGACCCCCATCAGCCTATATATATAGATAATGTAGCAGGATTTCTCAGAAATATTCTACAGGTGGCCGTTACTTAATGATCACTTGTTCAGTGCCCATTCAAACATATGAAGGTGCTGAATGAGTGATAGTTACAAGTGGTCCTTATAATAATGTTGATCACAGTGTCCCTGCAGTCACAATTGCCATTTGTGATTTTCTTTGCTGGCTTCCAAGGAGCAAAGTCAAAGAGGAAGCTAGCAGGAGGATGCAAATGGCAACAACATGATGTTCTTGCTTAACAACCAGCAGTGATTCACTTAATGACAATTGAAAGTGCCAGAATTTTCATTGCTAGGCAGCATGATCACATGACTAGACTTTATAATCACATGGTTTAGCCACAGACATTCTGGTTCCAATTACCATCCTTAAGTGAGAACTACTTGTAGTTGTAATAGTGTGAGACCTAAAAATATAGACATAACTTGAAGTCTAAACAGTTAATCAGAGTTGAAAGATCAGGCTTTAAAGCAGACATGTCAAACTTGTGACGTCACGCAACGTATCAGGACGGTTTTGCCATTGCGGGAATGGGGTGGTCGCGGTTTCCGGATGACGTGTCCGGCCCATAGGCCGGCAGTTTGATACCCCTGCTTTAAACGATCATATTCTTCCCTGTTTAAACAGCAACATCCTTTAGGAATCAAATACATTTTTAAAGGGTGCTTTCATCCACCTTAAAGCCCATGAATGTGATCTGACCAGACGCCACATAATTTCCACTTGGAGAAACTGTGACACAGGAGACATTGTTGGTGTGACCATGTAAAAAATCTTGACCTGGAGTGTTTATGCTTTGGATAATTACTGTACAACCCAGTGGATAGATAAGATGCTCTCGATCTGGATGGCAGATGAGGCCAAAGGGAACATGTCCTGAAGACAAAAGAAATACAATGATTATTTTGTTACTAGAGGTAGAACAGCCAACATTTATCTACTACTGAAACTCTTGTGTCTGTAATCTTTAACTGGGCAAAATGGTGCATCATAGGACAAAACAATTCCAACCAAGGTATCCAAAGTAGGCTAACTTACAGAATACATCCAAAATCTGGGACCCATGATTCTTGTAGAACTGAAATTTGGCAATTTTTATAAAACATTTTATGATGCAAATATAAGCATTTATGACATAATACAAAATGATTTTAAAAATTGTGTGGTCAAGTTCTGATATTTGAATACAGTATAATTCAATATGGGCTACTTTTAAGGCAGAGACTGAATATCACTCTGAATTTTAACATTTCCAGGGAAGGCAGTATATTAGTGCTCTGTCATTGTTGAAGAATCATTGAGAATTTAGTAATATTTTTGAAATGATGATCCAACAGATCACAGGTTGTCTAGTTACATGCTATAGTCGAGCAATAATCAGGTAAAACTTTTGGAAACTGAAAGTGGTTTCCCACTTAGGAGCAGCAAAAGATTTATTCCTGCAATTCATCAGGATACTTTAATGCTCTCCATTTTTTTTATCAGTCCTCTTCAATTACTTGCTAATGCTGTCTGTCTTTTGATACTTTGATCCTAATCCATTCTGCTGTCTTTTATTCAAACAGTAGAGAATAATGATACTGTGCTTAAATCGTGTCTTTCCTTTAACCTTCTGAAAGCAAGGTAATATCATTAAAACAATTCATTTCTTAAGAATCAAAATCACAGCAAGTATGAGAATAATCACAGGGACAATGGCCATTAATTGAAAGAGACACTCAGATTTGGCTTGTTTTGAACTATAGTCAAGGTAAACTTTATAGTCCTGCTCTTTACAGCCCCGTGTCAAATTGAAACTCTGATTTCTCAATCCTTCCCTCTGTAACCGAATACAAACTACTTAATGCACAGATATTTATGTTAGATTATGTCCATGGAGTCCTTCTCTGGTACAGCCTGAAAAACAGTTTGGATTATAATTACAGCCCACCAATGCAATATACGAATATCGAAGAGGGAACACTTGAGCATGGGCAGAGTTCTTTTGCTTTATGCCGGGCAATTACAGAGATCAACTTTCAGAAGATCGAGGCGGAGTTCCTAGCGGCCAGGATGGGAGGGGGCTTTCCCCACAGCAAGGAAATACCGTGACTTCCCTGGTTGCCATCCCGGTCTTTCCCTCTCTGCCCCCGGTACCATTGAAGCCAATGATCGCCTGAAGCTGAAGGCCCTCCAACTCGTCCGCCGACTCCGCTTTTTCTTTCGGGACAGTCGCCATGTCACCGCCGGCACTTAACACTGGCTTAGCGGTTGTATATACCGGTCGCTATGGAAACCGCGCAGGCCCCAGAGGAGGCGTGACTCTCGGAGATGCTCTGGAACCCGTGATGGAAGGGGCGGCGCCTCTGTCGTTTCTCGGCTGCAGAAGGAGCGCAGAATAGGTGGGATTGGGTAGAATTTGAGAACGGCGTTCCTGCGTTTTTCCAGCCTCTTTGCAAATGAAGCGGAATCTTACGAGTTGCGCTATTTTCATTGTAAAGACCGTCAAGCCCAGCTCCAGAGTCTTAGGATGGGTGTCCGATACCCAGAAGCACTTACTGGCTTCCAACCTCATTTTAGATCGCACCCTATGACTGACTATGTCAACCCAGCCACCAGGCTGTTTCTAGGTTGTATATGTTATGAGGGGTCCTTGGTGTTCTCCGAGTTTGGTTGCTTTCTTGCAGACGTTTCGTTACCGAAATATCATCAGTGGTAGTGTGTTTTACAGACGTGATTTAGCTGTATGATCATTGCCCTAAATTACCTTCACGCGTTCCACTAAGCCATAATTTACTTACTTTTATTTCATTGAGTAACGCAGAATTAATTGGGATTATGTTAAAATGCTAAACCAGAATCATTTAACATTAAACCAGAATCAAAGCAATCGTTTAGGGGTTAAGGCAGATTGTGGACCATCTGTGGTACAAAACCAGTTTGCTTCTTTATGGTTTATCACAAACATTTTATTACGTGTTTTATTGGATTTAGAGATAGTCCAACTCCCAACAACTCTGGCAGCTTACATTTCAAAAGTGGGAAACAATAAAATGAAAGAAAAGGGAATTTACTTTTGGAAAACAAAACTAACAGTCTCTTCAGTTAGCCTAACTTCAGGCCTAGGAGCTAAGCCAGGTTTTCAAATACTTGCACAACAGCTGCCTGGTGGGAGCTCCTGATCTTCCAGGGTGATGCTGTTCTAGAAGGCAATGGAGAAATTCCTGAATCCTAATAACATCATTCTAGCCCAGTGGTTCTCAACCTGTGGGTCGGGACCCCATTTGGGGTCGATCAACCATTTCATGGGGGTCACCAAGCAAGGCTGTCCGCCATTTTTTTGTCCGCCATTTTTTTTGTCCGCCATTTTTTTTGTCCGCCATTTTTTTCCCCTTTTCCGGCGGGTGCCTTACCTCCCTTGGGCTGGGCTAGCTGGTGGTCGGCCTGCTGCGTCTCTGCCGCTTGCCAGCTACGCCTCGGCCGGCGCAGGGGGCAGAACCACGCATGCGCGGCACTCCCGGGCAGGGAAAGTCCTCGACTTACGACCGGCTGGGTAGTCTTCGACTTACGACCGGTTTAGTCCTCGACTTACGGCCGGTTTAGTCCTCGACTTACGGCCGGTTTAGTCCTCGACTTACGACCGGTTGGGGTCGCGGCATTAAAAAGGTTGAGAACCACTGTTCTAGCCATTGTTTTATCTACTGCAGGATGAAAACTTCTTCCGCATGTTTCCAACCAATATAGCCCTGAGCTTTCTTTTGCCAATTAGGCTCGCAATAATTGCTGATGTTGTCAATCCATCTTGTTTTAGGTCTCTTTCGTGGACGCTTTTTACCAAGTGGGATCCATTTCATTTCATTTTCATTTCATTTTATTAAATTTATACCCCGCCCTTCTCCCGGAGGACTCAGGGCGGCTTACAGCCAGTTTAAAAACAATAGTACAATACCATACAAAATTTAAAAATGATTAAAAATAAATATTTGAATTGGCCGCTTCTACTAAAATTTTGTTAAAACCAATTAAAATACCCCTAGGCCAGTCCTG